GTGTCTCTCTTTAGAATACCTTCTCTGTCCTACCCGGGCTCCAGCCTCAAGTGTCTCTCTTAGAATACCTTCTCTGTCCTACCCGGGCTCCAGCCCATTCTCTTTCAGCATGGGATCACGGGAGTAATTTAGATTTGTGAAAGTGACAGAAACAAGAATTACAACAATATCTTTTCAAAACATTATTCATTAGGAATTAAAATATTTATATGCTTGCATGTCAAGATGTCTAGAAACTCAAGAAATGAAAGAGTGAGTGGATTTCCTCACTCCTCAAGGTCTGTCAGTTGTTTCCACACTTTTTCTGAAACAAACCTCCCCTTTCACTAATTTGTAGGGCTAACTGTATGTTCCTACGTAAAAGGAAAAATCATACTGTTTTCACCCTCTCCCTTGGGTTGGTATGTGCTCTTTATCTGGGGGTTTTTGCTAGGCTTGTCTAGAAATTTTTTGAAAATTCGTTCATTTATTTCCCCTCAAACTTATTTACTTGTTTTAATTCTCTCTCTCTCTCTGTCATCTGTCCGTTATCTTATTTAATTAAGAGGCTGCTGACCTGTGCTGACCCCCGCGCTCCTCTGTGCAGGTGTACTTCCACCCCCTCATGTTCTGTTTGTTGAATCTAAGTCCATCATCACGTACGAAACCAAGTTCCCTCTAGTATTTTTTAGTTTTGTTTTTGGATTTGGGATTTTCCGGTCGGTCAACTTGAAACACGTCTGTCAATGTTTCCTTCTCCTTCGTCCCTCACCTTTGCGCCTGACCTTGCTCAGTCACTCATTAGCTCTTCACGAATGACGGCTGTTGATCTTCCCCCAAGCACGTGGTTCCTTCCTGAATTACTGTAAAATCACTGTCTGCCCAGTCTTCATTCAAGGCTGCTTCTATATATGGCTAGGGGAACACTCCTACACAGTATTTTAATTTTTTTCACTTATTCTCTGACAGTCTTGCACACGTACCTAGTGCGTGCTGATGATGCTCACTCACTACTGTCTCACACACCCACACTCCTTCTGAGCCTCTTCTCCCAACAAGCCCCCCCTCCCCTTGTATTTTTACATCTTCTTTCTACAGAGCTCCTCAGATCAGTGTTTGTTGTTTGGTTAGTTGGTTTTTTTTTTTTTTTTTTTTTTTTTTTTTTTTTTTTTTTTTTTTTTT